CAATATATATATATATATATATAATACAATATATATATATATATATATTCTTCTGCTCGAAAACGTATGCACGTGTACAATCTCGACACACAGTAATATATGCATCTAGATGTTGCTGCGTGCAATGTTTGTATGCTCCATGGTGTTGGTGACACAGCCTTAGATCCCTGCGTTTGTGTTGCGTGGTTCGTGCTACTTCATTGAGAATCCATATTGTATTCTTGTCACGGACTCGATAGTGCATTCACTGCGTGGCATATCTGTTGTGTCGTTTTATTTGCACTTCTAAGTGAGTATTTACTATATACAGTGGTAATTGTATTGTTATAACCTAACTACGATAGGCCCATTCAGTGTTATTGGTCTTCTTCCTCAGATCCAATGCCATATCTAGTCGAAAGACCCAGATTCCAGTACATATGTGGACCGTCTAATTCATGATACGCTGGATTAGTTTTGTATAAGTTAGGAAGTTTACATTGTTTCTCCGTAGTTAGTTTCCAGGAGAGCTCAGGGTATCCTTCCAATGCCTGCAATTGTAGTATTTCAATTTTAACTTCAGTGGTCGCGGATAAGATCTGTGAAGCTCTTCATATAAGCAATGTCAAAAAAAAAACCCCCCTTTCCCTTTACTTTCACCTTACCTGATATGCCATAGGATACATTCGCGTCATGTCCTCGGTCTTCGTTTGGTGATGTGACCATGTCTCATTGAAACAAGGAACTGTAGCGGCGAATCATCAAATTGGGATGAATTTCGGGTTGCGAAAAGTCGCTTTCAAATTCTCCAGAGTGAACAATAACAATACAAGTGGCATGACACTTACTTGTGAAGATGCTGGATCTTAACAGTGCAGGTCTCTTTTCTCCCGGCTCCTGACAAATGTTATTTTAAAAGTTATGTGAGCTCACCAACAAAAAAAACCCCACATATCGTGCATCGCGTACTTTTTCACTCCATTTTTGGTAGTGTCCGTGTTCTGTGTTCGCCAGCCGCTTGAACACCTGAAGGTCAGATACACCGGTTAGTCAGCCAAAGGGACCAACACATCAGCACATGCATCTATCAATGCATATACCCCATTCCAATCCCCAGGCCTCATCTTTCACTCTGAGTAGAAACTTGCACGAGCGGACATACTGTATAACTCCAGAGATCCACGCCGGCCCTTGATGCCATGTGGGCTACTATTAGCCAGCCTTGCAGTGCGAACATCATGTAATGCAGCTGGGTTGGCCGTATCATCTCTTCGGGCATTGAGCCGTCTGTGGTCCATGATAGAACGCCAGGATGAGTGGTGGATACTCCGTTCTAGGGCGTTCAAAATTTGATCCTTTTATGCACACACCTATATTCGGCGTTTACGTGTGATATCACGTGGCACGATGGAAGGAGGTTCTCAATGAAGTATAATGCACACATCCAAAACTAAGCATCCCATACAGGGTGGCATCGCCCAAAGCCGGATGCTGACCTTGAAAGTGTGACGAATGCAAGCCACATCTGAGTAGGTCAAGCACAGCAAACATGACGCGTGCTTGCGAAATACATCGGAATACAATCCCATACAAAAGCAATTGCACGCACTCGCACAACGTCAACCCCTGTAGTACTAACCGAGGTCGAACTGTTCCAGAATTCGTGCCACGTCTGACTGGGCCAGCCATAGGAACGTGTCAATGTCGTTCAAGTATGCAGCGAGAGCCAACCGTTGCACGTCGAAGAAGGTGCCGTGATTATTGTCGTGCTTGTACTCTGTTTTGGCCTGTGGTGTTTATATGTGGATATCACAGTCGATCAACAGGTCAAAACTAAAGACAAGATAAATACTTATCGAATACTTATGAAACTTTTTTTTTTGCTGTTGTGCAAATGGTTGCAATATGAACGATTAATTAAAGAAGAAGAAACTCCTTGCCTGTTTACTGGTGTCCAAATAATTGGAATAGTTGGTCATCCATATCTTAAAGGCAGTGCTGTCTTCTTCTGTAAAGGAGGTAGACGCCTCGAGAAGTCGCATTGCGTCTAGGAAGAAGAACACGCTACGGAATTCCAATACTCCAGTACTGCGCCCTGTAGATCCAAAAGTTGCGAATGACGATTAACTTCACACAATAACACCATATTTCTTTCCTCGTATCATTCGCACGATCCAGCTATACCTTTCTAAAGCCAACGTGTATTTATACTTTGTACAAGTACATTCGCAAAGTTTGACATAAGTGTACGTGTACGTACCTAAGTTGCCGTTGACGCCCCAATGGATTTGAGCATACATCGAATGCGGAGTTTGCCGCGTTTCCTCGTTCAAGAACCACACCCTAACATTGTCTACCGCTTTTTTTGCGTATGTCTCATCTTCTGTCATATGGTATGCCAATATTAGCACTGTGGTATTGCGGAACATATTGGCCAACGCCGTCCGGTCGTACTTCTCGCTGCCAACGTCATACAGAACCGACCCTGGTATCCTCTGAAGAGTTGACAGGAGTGGTTCGTCAGTATAATACACTATTCGGTTTATCATACTAATGTACGATGACTTTCAGATATACACAAAAGTCCAGGGTACGATATGAAGCCTAACGAATACAATACAATTAGTGATATTACGTAGAAACATAAAGGTCCTGAGGATATGATCGAGAATTTGATATGCGAATGAAACCGCAGGTACGTTATGGTAACTCTTGCAATCAAACAAAAATAGTCGGATATAGATACCTCTCCGTCTCGACGAATATACGGTAATCCAGTCTTAGTGTTGGGATCGGGCCAGTAGTATGGCTTGACGCTGTCGCGTACAAGATAAGAACAAAGATCGATCATGAGTTACAATACAGTGATTCATTGAACAACAAGGAATTTAATAAATAGCTGAACCAGTTATTTTCAAGCCATACCTGTAGTAGTCGTGCTTATTCCGACTTGGAGGAAGCTCGGTTTTGTACGTCACAGACCAAGGGCCCTGTCTAAAGTATAATAAAGCCATGAAGTAGATAAACGAATTCCGAGAGTTGGAGAAGGGGTCAGCATGGAAACGGCTGTACTTGAAGTAAAAGCATGACAAAGATACCATACGGCACCACAATGCTTACGTTTTTGAGTAGTCCGCATCCTTAATCAGAGTATCGATCAAGCTTTTCAACTCTAAGTCCCGTTCATTTGGGTTGCTGACTTTTTTTGCCACCAAATCTCTGTACCTTTGTTTCTCCAACTATGTGCAAGTAAAGACGGAATGAGTAAGTAAACGGCTTCACAGAAGAATCTGTTCGACAAAGAAGGGAATAATCTGCCATCACCTACATGTTTTCACGGGCGTGCAACTATCTGGCGGCCATGCATTATTTGCATTATTACCTGTAAAATAGTCTCGTTGTACATTAGCAACGTGCGGTCTGTAAACCCGTGATACTTGGCGGCGACAGTCGTATCTAACGCTTTGAGCTCATCAAACAAGTTGACCATGTAGCTGCCCATCAAAAAAACAATTGCAGTTGGTTATTAGTACTTGAGATTTAAGTGTGTACGATGTGTTTCATAGTACCAAGAATAGTCGTACAAACGACGTATTGCTTCAGCTTACCCCCGATCCATCCGGTGCGGTTTGGACTCCTTGAAAGCGTGGAATAGAATAGGTTGCTCGAGACTAGCGCCGTCTTTTGAGGGCTCTCGCCATCGCTTTGTCTTCTCTCCTACTGGCGCCAGTTTGATGGCACTCTGTTTTGAAAGCGTGTTTTAAATTTCTCGTCGGTTTACGAACAATTTGTACGCCAAACCCCAATCTAGCCTGGTAATAGTACTATTCAAAGTCTAGACCTTGTTCCGAAGATCGATGATGCAGAAGTGAAGACGGACAGTGACTTACCTGGATCCGACCGACGCGGTATTGTCTTGGCATATACGCGGCGGTATGATCCACTAACCTGAAAGACACATCTGCAGACCGAATATTGAGCTGCTGCATAACAGATACAAGGCGTATAGAGATAAGCAAGTTGACATTGTAAATACAAAGAATGCGCCTGCTCTTTTATTAGAACCTTCAAGCTATGGATTTCGATCGACTATACAAAAAGAAATACCTGTGTGATGTCTTTGTTCGAGGTCATTTCTCGGAGAGCGTGCCGTAAGTTCGCCCACTGCTCAGGTAGCAATAGAACATCCCAATCTAGCAAAATCACCTGTCCTCAATAGAGAATGACACATGGAGTCAGTACCGTTCTAAAGAAATGGTAGGATATCTCACTGACAATGTAGTCCGACTAGAATACCTATAAGCGGATGGACTTGTTGACGCAATGCAAAGGATAACGCGACACCGAAGAATTGGTATCCATACCCAATCCGGACGCACATCCATACGCTCCGCTTCTCCAATTGCCAGAGCACGTCCCCCTCTCCTGTTAGTTACGTAGTTCTTCTTGTACTTGTATATGTCGTGATTGATGCTTAAGCGCTGAATATAGGTGATTTTTAGGGTATTTATATCGCTGAAAGTTAGAATGAGCCATATCTGAGCGTAAATACTACCAATGAAATATCGTAGCTAAAATAAAGCTCGTTCGGGAATATTCCTAGCAATGAACACTGTTATAATGCGGATCAATTATCGCCTGAAGTCAAAAGAATCAAATCAGAGAAGAAGGTGCCGAATCACAAAACACGCCACACAATACAACACGTACCATTCCATATAGACAAAGAGTGTCAACATCATACCTAAGCAAACAACACGTACCATTGCATAGTAGACAAAGCGTGTCAACATCATACCTGAGTCAGAGGCATGTTGTAGTAGCGTCCACTTCTGAGAATATCAATAGGAAGTCGCCCTTCATATACAAGTTTTTTTTCGCGATACTCATCCCACTCGAATGGAATGACGCTATATTCGGCTCCATACTCTTTCAATACTTCTTCCACTGAATTCTATTAAAGCATATGTAAAAATCAAAACGACAGCAGTATTGTTGCCACATCGACCAGCAGTAGTCCCTTGAACGCATATGGCATGGTTTGTTACAGATATATAAAAACATGAGACTTACCAATTCTTCTACATCATGCAGCCTGTTGATTATCCACCGCGAGGATAATGCGCCCGGCAGGCTGACGCCTTTCTCACGTTCTAGTACATACCGTATATGATCCGCCGTCTCTTTCACAGCCCGGTAATCGCTAGGTGTGCACGTACAAGAATCACGTGAGTTGAATATACTTTAAATTTACCGTCTGAATCTCTAAAGCGCCTATCAAAAGGGAAGGAATACAACTAATGTTTTTTTGAGTTCTACACTTGTTAGAACCACCGAAACACATACTTCTCGATGATACGATACACCACCGCAGTCGGCGTAGTGGCCTTCGCCTCGGCCGCAATAATCTTTGCGTGGCGGCTGAGAGCTCGATTTCGCATGGCCTGAACCTCTTCCGCTGTATTTTCTTGGTCTGTGTGATCTTCTGAGACTTTCGGTGTATCATTTTCTTTAGAGAGCTTCCGTGTATCATTTTCTTTAGAGAGCTTCGGTGTATCGTGGTCTACCGCGTGTAATCGCTTGGCACCAGACTCCGCAGATTGTCCTCCAGAAGTCAGTCTGTAGACGTGAAATAGAGTACAATGCTCAGACGGAAACAGTCGAATCAAACGAAGATATAACCCGATGTAAGCTTCCTCTGATCAGAATTAGCTTTGCTATTGGCCAGGTAACGAGCTAACTTAGATCATAGATGCGTACATA